TAGTGCCCCATAATTGGTATTACTAGGAGGAATAGTGTCCCATCATTGGTATCAGTGGAAGGAATAGTGCCCCATTGTTGGTGTCAGTGGGAGGAATAGTGCCCCATCATTGCTGACAGTGGGCAGAATAGTACCCCATCATTGCTGACAGTGGGCAGAATAGTACCCCACCATTGGTGTCAGTGGGATGAAAGTGCCCCATCATTGGTATCAGAGGAAGGAAGCGTTCCCCATCCCTGGTATTAGTTGGAGGAATAGTTCCCCATCCTTGGTATTAGTTGGAGAAATAGTGCCCCATCCTTGGTATTAGTTGGAGGAATAGTACCTAATTGTTTATATCAGTGGGAGGAAAAATGCCCCATAGTTGGTGCCAGTGGAAGAAATGGTACCACCTTGTTGGTGTCAGTGGGAGGAATAGCACCCAAAGGGCCAGACAGAGGCAAGCAAAGGGCCACAGTTTGCAGACCACTGCTCTAAACAAACAGTCCCAATATATAGAATCCTCCCTCCATGTCTCATGCAACATGTAGCCATCTCACAAAATTCATTGAGATAGAATGCTTATTGTGCTGTCTACTATAAAGACAAGAATTTGATTTAGCTGAAGCAAATTGTTATGAATTATTATTATGGAAAATATGACAACACAAGCCTGTAAATGTCTGAAATTCCCATATTACACCTCAGGTGCATGCATCTAGGAGGCATGTTTAAAATGTTTGACATTCTCACCTAAACCGGTTTCAATGTGTAAAAATAATAATGTGGGCAGAACTCTGTGGGACATATTTCTTGTGCAGGTGATACGGCAATGTAAGGCCCCATGTACACGGGGCGTTTTGCTCTGGTGCATGAAGCTCCAACTTTTACATGCGGGTAGAGTGCACAGGTGCAATGTCCAGTCCCCTGCCAGCAGCTTGTCAAACTCTATGAAAGGCTGAAAGCTGCTGCGCATGGATGGGGCTGGACAGTACACTAACGTTTAAGGTAATATGGGATGAACGCCTAGAATGCATGAAGTCTGCGTTCCAAGCATTCATTTCTGTGCACATACTACCCAAACGTTAGTAACCACCAGGTCCACTGTCTAGCCCTGTCAACACACAACAGCTGTCAGCCTCTCATAGAGTTTGACAGGCTGACGGCAGATGGTCTGAATCGTGTACCTGTGCCTTCCACCTCCACGTAAATGCCAGAACCCCATGCACTGGCACTAAACTCATAATTTGCATTGGATATAAGGCATTCCCACCACCGATTTAGCCGGTGTGAATTGTAGCAGCAATGGTTATCGCTGGTTGTATGGACAGCAGCAAAAAGCTGCAACTATAGGTGACCTGTTATTAGAGCAAACAGTCGCACCTAGCCGTTGAGAGCCACATCAGTTTTCATGCACGTCTCAATGAGTTTTATACCCTTTGCAGATTCCTGCACAGAACAAAATCTGCACGAGATACTAGTGTTGCGGTGTGAACAGGGCACATAAAGATCTATCGTTTTTTTGTGCCCTTGCAGAACGTGCAGAAAAAGTAACATCTCTGCACCATGGTGTGAAGAAGGCATTAAAACCATCCCCTGCTCTGACATATACGCCGACAGGAATAGGTTAAACTGACAGTCGGGGCGGACTGACCATTGGAGCACTCTGGCACTGCCCGAGGGCCCGGGGTCAGTAGGGAGCCCCATGAAATTCCCCTGGTACCTTTTATAGGCTTTTTTGGGTGTGCTTTGAGTGTGGTCAAGCACACAGAGGCTCCATGATCCCCTATTGCCTGGGGGTCCCATGAGTTGTCAGTCCTCCCCTGCTGACAGTTTACTTGACCTTTAACTGGTTCAGTTCCATTCAAATCTGATATACTCAGAAGTAGAAATAAACTCAAAACAAAACAAAAATCCAAACTTTTTAATGTATGCTGGCAGATGGATGGGTCGCTGAGGTTCTCTTCCAGAAAGGGTTGCCTTTTTAAGAGACTATTAAAGGGTTAAAATTTGTATCTATTTTGCAGTGATTGGTGTTCTGCTAAGAAGATTTTCCTTTTCCTTCCTGTCCTGGAGACGGAACAGGAAATCTCTCCAAAATGATTGAAATTCCCTTCCTAAATAGTTCTCATAGGAACCAGTATCCTCGTTTTGGATGTGTCCATCATTATGTATTTCCCATCATTAGATGTCTCTATGACGGTGGTTCCAGGGCACAAAGAATCCCCAGCAACAACATAGACAGAAATTACATTTTCACAAAGGGCCTAACCTTTCCTCACTTTATCCAAAAGAAAAAGAAAATACCTTTACATACTTGTTACGGGCTAGTTCATAAAAATGTGCTCCAGATCAGTTTTGGAGCGTTTGTTATGCATTTCTGGATGTGTTCCAGATTCTTTATTACCTGTTTTCACTGTAGTCCAGTGTGTTTTTTATGCATGTAGGTGCGTTCACTTACGTTTTTGATGGATAGTTAGTTTGGCTGAAAAAAGACAAAAGTCCATTCAGTTCAACTATTAAAAAAAAATTATAATCCTGTACTAACAGTTGATCCAGAGGAAGGCAAAAAAAACCCAGCAAAGCATGATCCAATTTGCTCCTGCAGGGAAAACATTCCTTCCTGATCCCCTGAGAGGCAATCGGATATTCCCTGGATCAACTTTACCTATAAATGTTAGTATCCAGTTACATATATTCTGTGTATCTAGGAAAGAATCCAGGCCTATTTTAAAGCAATCCACTGAGCTGGCCAGAACCAACTCTTGAGGAAGTCCACATTTTCACAGCTCTCACAGTGAAGAAACCTTTCCGTGTTTGGAAATTAAATTTCTTATATGTTCTTCTTGCGTTATACCATGTTCCAGTACAGTTCTGCGCAGAAAAATGCAGCTCGTGGTACTTTTTTTCTGGAACCAGAACGCACTGGAACTGCAAGCACTGCTATTATCTATGCCATTGAAAACCATGTAACCTACTTTCCAAGCATTTTGGATCCAGAAAAAAAGCACTGGAACACGTGTAGTGTGAACTAGCCCTAAGCTATTAAGTTTTGTACAAGCAAAAGACAATGTTGAATGTTTCATATATTTTATCTGCAGTGGCTGCTACTGGGTGTATACAGCTGATATGATCTCATAGAGAAGGACCACATCGCTATGCAGCATGAAAAAGACATTGGTGATCTGTAAACATGTCTCCTGTGTAGAATTTGGAATTTGAAATAGCATTTCAGCATCTGCCAAGAAGAAAACATGCGTGAAAAATGGGGTTTATATGCCCCATTTTTTTAAAGAAAGTTGGTACTCTAGGACAATCTGAATCGCATTCTGGCAAGATCGTGAAAAACTTCCTACCTCAAAATCCATGTTATGTATATCATGTGCTGGTAATGTTTTGTATTCATTGACTCTAAATTGTTATAACTAAATATTCAGCTATGTCAAATAAGCCAACACTTTTTAATGTAATAAATATGATTTCAATGTAATAAACAGGAATAAATATGTATTTCTTCATGTGTCCTATACTCTGTAGAGTAGTTGTAAATTACTTTAACCACTTGCCCCCCTGAAGATTTACCCCCCTTCCTGACCAGGCCATTTTTTGCATTATGACGCTGTGTTACTTTAACTGACAATTGCGCGGTCATGCAGCCCTGCACCTCAAGTGAAATTTACGTCCTTTTTTCCCACAAATTTAGCTTTCTTTTGGTGGTATTTGATCGCCTGTGCATTGTTTATTTTTTGCATTATAAGCAAAAAAAGACCGACGATTTTGAGAAAAAAAACAATATTTTGGACTTTTTACTAATAAACATGTCCAGTAAAAAATTTAAAAAATCAAATATAATCATAAATTTAGACCAAAATTTATTCTGCGACATGTCTTTGCTAAAAAGAAAAATCCCAATACGTGTAAATTAATTGGTTTACATGAAAGTTATAGTGTTTACAAATGGCAGTATAGATAATGGGATTTTTTTTTTTCTACTAGTGATAGCGGCGATCAGCGACCTTTAGCGGGACTGGGGCGGACATTCTGACACTGCGGGGGGGGGGAACTAACTTGGTGTCATTGATAACCCCAGTGAAACCAATACAGTGATTAGTGCTATAAAAAAAAATCACTGACACTGTACTAATGACACTTGGCAGGAAAGGGTTAATGTGAGGTGGTGATCAAAGGGTTAATTGTGTGCTGGGAGTGTTTTACTAGGAGGCGGGGGATGTGTGCTTCACTGTAAGCACACTGATCGGGATGGCTGTACTGTGCACAGCCATCCCAAGCAGTGTGCTCGAGCTGATAGGGAGGAAGATTGTTTGTAAACAACACAATCTTCCTCCCCGTCGGAGATGCTCGGTAATCACTGGGCGCCAGCGGGTAATTACTGTCCGGGACCCAATGACATCCGTGGCCGCGAAGGCGGTGCGGGTAGGGTGCGCATGTGGCTCGTGAACGCCCCCTACCGGGAAATGCGAAATGACGTATATATATACGTGATCCTGCACACAGGTGCCTCCCTGTAGCAGTAAATCTGCTATAGGGCAGTCCTTAAGCGGTTAATGGCATGTTTCGGCCTCCATAAAACAAGAATAGGAACTAACTTGTACAGAGTATAGAAAGTATTACAGATGTAATGACTGTAAACAGTGACACCTACAGGCCAGAGGTATGAACACCACATACACCATAAATTGCGCATACTAATATGTAAGGCTGGCTTCATACTAATGTTTTTCAGCAATGCATGTTAGCACAATGCATGTTAAAGCAGGGCAGTACCATTTATTTATTTAGAATTTCACCCTAAGACATAAGTATAGTAGCTGGCAAACCCCATACTGCAGTGGACCATGGGGCATAGGCAAGACGCAGGGGTGATGCGCTACAAAATGATGCAGCCTTACCACTACAAAGACGTCAATTTGCGTGAGCTAACGTATCGCAGTGGAAAAATATGAAGGAACCTTTAAGATTAACCGAAGTTCACTTGATTAAATGCTCCACCCAAAACTAACTTAAAGGAAAACACCATCAAAGAAGGGTACTGAGCAAAATGAATGGGCAGCCATTGCTGAGCTAATGTTGTAAACAGGGGCGGACTGACCATTTGGAAACTCGGGCACTGCCCGAGGGCCGGGGTCAGTAGGGGGCCCCATGAAATGCCCCTGGTACCTTTTTCATAGACTTTTTTGAGTTTGGGCAAGGACACAGGGGCCCCATGATCCCCTATTGCCCGGTGGCCCAATGAGTTGTCAGTCCGCCCCTGGTTGTAAATGTTATTTCCTATGTGTCTCTAGCTTTGAGTCACTGACCACTAACAGGCATGTGATAAATGAACTCAGAGTGAGAGAAAAACTCCTTCCTGCATATTTTTCCGAAGAGCAACTTGGCTATTATTGATGCCATTAGATTTTTTCAGCCAGTAAACCAGCATTTGTAAAATCAGAAGGCAGTGACATTAGTGTACATACTTCCTTCAGTACAGGTGCCCTTTAAATATAAAAAAAAAATCTAAAATTTTTGATATGCCTATGCAGTAAACAGGACACACCGGTAAAGCATTGAATGCAAATCTCAGTATCAAATCTCTTTCTTTACTGAAGTCAGACCTTGGACTGAGAGTATATGTTCATTGGTTAGTCTGTTAATGTGTGAGATCTGTAAGTGGTATCTTTAGGGATTAAAATTCCATTGTCTGGAACCCACACCCAAAATATCACCTGCGGAATTTTTGTTTTTGCTTTCTTTGTAAGATAAAGGTGCTGACCATAAACAGGTACACAAGCAGGATAACCAGAGGACTCTGGCCTGGAATGTGCATGTATTTACATTGTGCCTAGGTATAGAATGTGATCATCAATGATTAACTGGACATTGCGTCATCTATTACAACAGATTTTTGATTAGATTAGATAATAAGGTACTCAATTTAACATTAAAAAGCAACAAAACACAGTAAAAAAAAAAATCACATATGTTGCTAATATGGACTCCAAAACCTCAAAATGCTTCCTCTACCAATATATTTGTGCCTACATACAGGGGTGGACTGACAACTCATGGGGCCCCCGGGCAATAGGGGATCATGGGGCCCCTGTGTCCTTGCCCAAACTCAAAAAAGCCTATGAAAAAGGTACCAGGGGCATCTCATGGGGCCCCCTACTGACCCCGGGCCCTCAGGCAGTGCCCGAATTTCCAAATGGTCAGTCCGCCCCTGCCTACATAGGTAAACTGTGTATAATCTCCATTCATTCAATATGGTTCAGCTGGTATATTGCAACACCTCTAAGCAGACACTAGATGGTGCTTTTGAAATTAATAATAAAGTATAAGCAAAGTTATATAGTGAATATTGAATCTTCTAGGCCAGTGGGTGGGCAACCTTTTTTTTCAACTGAGCCAAATTCGCCGAGTATGTTAATTTGTGTATACATCCCCCATATAGTAATTCATCCCCCTATAGTAATTCATCCCCCATTCATCCCCCATAGTAATTCAATATTCATGGTTCAATTCATCCCCCATAGCAATTCATCCCCCGTAGGTAGTAATTTGCAACACCCCTAAGCAGACACTGATATGGTGAATCCCTCATATAGTTTTCATCCCCCCTGCCTACATATATAGTAAAATCCCTCATATAGTAATAATCCCCCATTCCATTCAATATGGTCAGCTTTCATCCCTCATATAGTAATTCCCAACCCCCATATAGTATTTCAACCCTCATATAGTATTTTATTTCATCCCCCCATATAGTATTTCATCCCCCATATAGAATATATAAAGTATTTATAAGCATAAGTTATATAGTGAATCTTGAATCTTCTAGGCTCCATTGCGCACTGAATGTGTCAATTCACTTACCTTTTGCGTTCCTCTCGCTGGGGGCTTTCAGGGCGGACTGTGAGAGGAGCCTAGCACACTCTCCCTTCCCCTCAGGTTCTGCCCCGCCTACACACATCCTGGCCACCTCCGCAAGGAAAATCACGATAAAACGCACATGTTTTTGCATGCGCACTTAGGTGTTTGGAGGTAATACCTTCTGTTAGCCAGAATGTTCATTTATTTATTACAGGTACTTATACAGTGCTGTTGCTTTACATATATTGTACATTCACATTGGTCCCTGGCCCTTAGGGAGTGTACAGTCTAGGGTCCCTAACTCATATGTACACTAGGGCCAATTTACCTAACAGCATGTCCTTGGAGTGTGGGGGTAAGCCCATGCAGGCACAGGCGGTGCCATGGTGGGATTTGAACCGATGACCCTAGTACTGCCAGGCAGAGATGCTAGCCACTGTGCTGCCCCATGGCTGTTAGACTGTACCATGCACAAATGCTCATTAATGCATCTTAAGAATGTTTTTTTTTCTGCTTCCAAATGCTCCTGCTTATTAAAGCGGAGCTCCACCCATTCCACTTTAAGGACTGCCCCCCGCTCCCCATTAAGGATTGGCACCTTTGGGGGGTGGGGAGGAGCGGGTACCTGAATTTGACAGGTACCCACTCCCACTTCCGATCCGATCGCCTAGGCGATCAGAAGCGGAAGGTGTCCTCCCTCCCTGTAGTCTTTTGGGACACATGACAGGTCCCAGAAGACTACAGGACCATTCATGAAGCGCAGCCCTACTCGCGCATGCGCAGTGGGTACTCGGCTGTGAAGCCGCAAGCTATCACAGCCGGGTGCCCACACTGAAGATGCCGGCCTCCTGGAATACAGGACAGCCGGTAAAATGGGCTGCGGGGGACACACCACGGGACTGAGGGACAGGTAAGTGGCTGTTTTTTAAAAGTCAGCAGCTACAGTTTTTGTAGCTGCTGACTTTTATTTTTTGACAGGGTGAGTGGAACTCCACTTTAATGCCTGTGGGGGCAGCACAGTGGCTAAATGGTCAGCACTTCTGCCTAGCAGTATTAGGGCCATTGGTTCAAATCCCAACCACAGCATCACCTTGCATTTGCATGTTCTCCCTGTGTCCACATGGGTTTCCTCCAGCCACTCCAGTTTCCTCCCACACTCCAAATACATGCTAGTAGGTTAATTGGATCCTGTCTAAATTGTCCCTAGTATGTGTATGTATGAATGTAAGTTAGGGACCTTAGATTGTACACCCCTTGAGGGTTAGGGACTGATGTGAATGTACAATATATATGTAATGCGCTGCATAAATTGACAGCAGTATAGAAGTACCTGTAATAATAATAATATGTGTGTATGGGCACATAGTCTAACATGGAGAGGATTTTAGGAAGAAACAAAACTGTCAAATGCCGGTAAAAAGACCAGTTTGGGTGGACGTTACTTGTTGTCCCTGTAGGTTCAAGGATCATGCTTGGCAGAGCATCATCAAACTGTAAGATAGGAAACACAGGAACTCTTGTCATCATGATTCTGGGGCTCTCTGATATCTTCTGAAGACTGTCTGATCCTAGATTCACACCTAAGCATTTTCCGCAGCATTTTGCAGAAAAACAGCACAGTCCATTTAACATGATATCCTATGGGACAGGTTCACTTCTCCGAGTTTTCTCCCCAGTGAGTTTTTTGAAAAGGGTCGGGGACTTTTTTGACCGCAAAAAGTTGCTTTTTTGGTCCTATAGACTTCAATGGAAATGCTGTAGAAAAGCATGTATTGCGTTTTTCATTTTAATCTGCCTAGCAACAAGAAAAAATAAAGCAAAACGCGTTAAATACACATGGGCCCATGCCCCCTCCACTGACTTCTCCATCAAGATCAATAATACAACCATCAGTCCCTGCCCTCATGCCAGGGTACTAGGTGTAATCCTAGATTCCCATTTGTCCTTTCAGCCCCAAATCCAATCGCTGTCCAAATCATGTAGACTTCACCTCCGCAACATTTATTTATTTATTTATTTCAGGTACTTATATAGATACGTCCGTTCCTAACCCCAGAAACCACTAAGCAACTTATTCACTCCCTTGTTATATCTCGCCTTGACTATTGTAACTCCCTCCTCATTGGCCTACCTCATCGCAGGCTATCCCCTCTTCAGTCTATCATGAATGCTGCCAGACTCATCCATATCAGCCACCCCTCTCTGCCAATCCCTCCACTGGCTTCCCATTGCCCAACAAATAAAAATTCAAAACATTAACAATAACATATAAAGCCATTTATAACTCAAATTACATCACCGATCTTGTCTCCAAATATCACCCAAACCGTCCTCTCCGCTCCTCCCACAACCTTCCTTGTCTCCTCCTTCCATGCTCATCTCCAGGACTTCTCCAGAGTCTCCCCCCATCCTCTGGAACTCTCTACCCCAATCTATCCAACCTTCTCTGTCCACTTTTAGGCGATCTCTGAAAACCTATCTCTTCAGGGAAGCCTATCCTGCCTTCAGCTAATAATGGAATCTTCTATTCCTCCTATCAGTTCATCCCCCACAGTTGTTACCTTTTGTACCACCAGCCCCTCCCTCTTAGATTGTAAGCTCCAAGGAGCAGGGCCCTCCTAACCCTCTTGTATTGAACTGTATTGTTGCTGTATTGTCTCCCTTTTTATTGTAAAGCGCAAACTGTTAGTGCTATATAAATCCTGTATAATAATAACATGCAAAACGCACCACAAAAAGCACTGCAGAAATGGATCAAACGCAAACTGCATAGGTCTGAACCTAGACTAAAAGGACCCAGACATAACAGCCCCCAAATCTGGCTGAGGCCCATTGAGGTAATTAGTGGTCAGACAGGTTTTAAAATCTTGTGTGGTCACTATTTGTTTACCCTTCCACAAGCTGTTGCTGGAGGTGTCTACAGTGTCCTTCGTCCTTCTTCACCTTCTGTAAAGGATCAGTTGACCAGGGAAACTGTTTATATACAATATATGGGAACCCATTGGTAGACTTGCATACCTGAGGGTAATCAGATCTTCCAACTGCCTTCTAGGGCGTATGGACATCATAGAACTTCTGTATGTCAGAAATCCTAAAGTGTTATAAATGATCCACCTCCCACCCGGCCTATTATAAAAAAACGACGACCGAGCTGTAGCACCATTATTGTGGGTGGACATCATATGATGTCCTCCAGGTGTGCACCTCATGCACACCCTAGGGGCCACACAGCAGCACGATCTGACACCTGCTGTGTCCCCTGGGCACACAGCAGAAGACAGATCAGCCCTGGTACCATGTGATTGCTGTGACCAATACAACGACCATGTCAGTTGTACACAGCGGCTTTAATTCATAGCCATTCATTTTGTACTACTGTGA